TTTCGGAGAAAAAAATAATGTTCTAAGATTCTGTGATTTTTTTGCCACTTAAGAAAATCCTGTGTTGATCCAAAGTTCTCATTTCCCATTGAAGAAAATTATGAGAAGAAACTTCACTTCAGTTACTGAGTTCCTGCTCCTGGGACTGACCAGTTGCCAGGAATTGCAGATTCTCTTCTTTGTGCTGTTTCTGGCCATTTACATGACCACGGTGGCAGGGAATCTTGGCATGATCGTCCTCATCTGGGTCCATGCACGGCTCCACATGCCCATGTACTTTTTCCTGAGCCACTTGTCCTTCGTGGATCTGTGCTTCTCTTCCAACATGACTCCAAAGATGCTGGAGATTTTCTTACCAGAGAGGAAAACCATCTCCTATTCTGCTTGTCTGTTGCAGTGTTACTTCTTTATTGCCCTGGTCCATGTGGAGATCTATATCCTGGCTGTGATGGCCTTGGATCGGTACATGGCCATCTGCAACCCTCTGCTTTATGGTAGCAAAATGTCCAGGAGCATGTGCGCCTCCCTCATCACAGTGCCTTATGTGTATGGGGCACTCACTGGCCTGATGGAGACCGTGTGGATCTACAGCCTCATCTTCTGTGGCCACAGTGAAATTAATCACTTCTACTGTGCTGACCCTCCACTGATTAAGCTGGCTTGTTCTGACACCTACAACAAAGAAACATCAATGTTTGCTGTGGCTGGATGTAACCTTTCCTTTTCTCTCCTCATAATCCTGATTTCCTACCTTTATATTTTTCCTGCTATCCTGAGGATTTGTTCCTCAGAAGGAAGGCGCACAGCTTTCTCTACCTGTGGCTCTCATCTGACAGCTGTCACCATATTCTATGCAACTCTTTTCTTCATGTACCTCAGATCTCCCTCAAAATAATCCATGGCACAGGGGAAAATGTTGGCCGTGTTTTATACCACTGTGATCCCCATGTTGAATCCCATGATCTACAGTCTGAGAAACAAGGATGTGAAAGAAGCTCTGATCAGAGAACTGTTCAGCAGGAAACTGCTTTCTAAATAAATTTGGGTGCTAATTTTAGTTAAACACTTTTATTTTATATGTCTTATGACCTTCTCTTAAGTCTTAATACAAAAGTAATTTGTCCAAATCCATATCCTTTTCTTGAAGGGCTGGGGGAAATTTCCATAGAGAAAATTTAACTAAAAGGAATCTGAGTATCAATATCAACTGTTAAGAATTTTGAATTCTCTGGGAAAACTTTGCTTGTTGAGACCCAAAATTAAAGCCCTGTACATTGATGGATCATTGCCAGTAAGAAATTCAATTCACCCTTTGGGAAAAAAAAATTAAAGCTAGAATTGTATTTTATCTTTAGAAGGTTTAATCATACAGTTTTAGCTGTCTCTTAATGGGGATTATTCACTTTAACATGTAGCCAATAACTTTAAAAAAAAACACTTCTGTACAACTTTACTAAATAAACGTGCCTTCCTTACAGCTGAAAACCAGCATTGCACTTGAAATTTCAGAGTGGGGAAAATTTACCCCTACCTCATTTGAGTTCTTTTGACTGGTCTAATAATTAAATGGACACAAGAAAGATAAACATAATGAAACAATTTAATTCATATGCAAAGAGTTGTCATAAAAAAAGAAGACACTCAAAATGACCAAAGCAAGCTGTTTACATACCATTTTTAGATAAGACACCATTATTTGTGAAGATTTAACTAGACCAAGGCACTTGTGCTAGGGTACTGAAGTAATGAAGAAGTCACGAGGTTTGTTAGTCAGCTTTCTGAGACCTGGATTCCTTACTGTGGTGACAAAGATGCTCTCTATCCTCCTGCTATGGAGGATACCTTTATGTGGGAGATTTATTTCCAACATTTGAGGAAAAGAGGAGGGTCAGAGTTTTTTTAAATAAAATTTTTTTCACTAACTATTTCTCAAGTAACTTTATTTCAAAGTAACCAGTATGCACCTGTGGTTCATCTTGGGGTGCCCTTCTCTGAGCCCCAGAAAACTCATCCAGTCTACAACACAAATCTCATCTCATTTAACCCATCTGCAGCTCAATTCTTGGCTCTCCTTCCATTAAACCCAACTCTGGCCTGAAATACACCATAGCCTTGGTCCCCCAGGAAGCACACTTATCTTGCCATGATATATTCCTGCCTATTCTCTTTGAACTCATGAAGAAAAACAAAGAAAAAATATTAATTGGTCAAATTGTATTTCTTAAAAGTCTGAATGAAGAGATATAGTTACTTGATAATGCATTGAACATGCGTCTAATACTAGTAAATCAACCCATGAGGTGTGCAACATAGTTATAATAAAATGTCACCTCACATTTGCAGAGCACTTTGTAAATTCTATGGTCCTTTTCCTTACCCCCACTTGATTGCACAGAATATGAAGAGTAGATGATATTTATTTTCAATGGGAACCACGTGAACAGAAATTATTTTTCCTATAAAGACAAAAACCTTGCAGCTCAAATGTCAAGCTGACCACAGAGAGTCAAATCCAGTACCAGCTCTTCCAGTCTTGTAGGTGTGGGTTTTCTGGGTGCTGACACAAACAGGTCCCTTGAAGGTGACTTGGAGCTTTAAGGATAATCACCTGCAGGGAAGATGAGAAGCCAGTGATGAGGTGCACACAAGGCGAGCAGTGAGAACAGAGACCCCTCATGGTCCTCGGGCTGTTGGAGGGCTCCCATCTCTGCACCAGCAGAGTCCGTGAGAACAACAAAACCAAATTAGTCTGTTTAGGCTTTGACTGATAGAGACATTAAAAATAATCCCATCTGAAAATTTAAACAATAATTGAATTATTTTGTCAAGTTGAGGTTTAGATTTACACTGCTTTCATGATCTGTCAGATCCTAAGCTTGAAAAAAAAATTGAAGGTCTCCTAGTTTCAGAAACACTGCATGGGACTGGCACAGACATACACAAATACACGTCAAAGGAGTGAACTCTCAGCCACTCAGACCTCCAAGAATTTCCACAGAGAAAGCTCCTGTTCCTGTAAAGTTTCAGGAAAATAAGAAAAAACATAGGTGGATACTGTCAACTTCAGATATTTGCATTACTTGATGCAAATTATAGCAAAAATGCACTTACTAGTTGAAAGCAATAAAGGTTAAATTTAAAACTATGAGACTATAGATTGCAATGTACAACCAGAACTTCAGAGGAAACTGACAATTTAGAATTGAGGAAAAACTGGGTTTGTCAGGAAAACCAGCTTCCAAGAAGGAGAAAAAACAGGTGACTATACACACACACACGTGTGCACACACACACACACACACACACACATAAATACAGACTATATAGAGCAATATTACTATATAATTTGTGGGTTCAAAAAGATATAACTGACTTCCTGGAAAACAGTAGATTATCAAGAAGTGATGGTGGCTAAGTTTTTTTTTTACTTTAATCTTTGTATTTTTAGGATAGTAAAAACATTGGGTATCTTTAGATTTATTAAGGTTAGTGTGGGTGTTAATCTACCAAATGTTATTAATGAAAGATTAAACATGGAATCTATCTAGCCAAAATTTGGGAGAAAGATGGTCAAAAGATAACACATTTATAGTGTTGACTATGTGCAGAATGATATTCAAAGCTCTTTACAGACTTTTTCCCAGATATTTACAGATGTTTTGTCAATAGTCATCAGAACAATTGAGACATGTGATGTTATTGTCTCAATATTAAACTCAGAAAACCTGAAACAGAGTCATTAAATGACTTGCCACAGATTATACAGGAAGTAACAGGTGGAGCTGGAAATTATGATGTGATCTAGCTCTAATTTATGGTAGTATGTTATAATACTACTGAATCAGTCCATAAGAGTGCAGGACAAAAAGCACAGCAAATTATGAACAGTTCTCAACAAAACACATTTAAAGAACCAAGTCACATGTCACAATGTGCTCAACTTCACTCGTGATCAGGAAAATGCAAATTAAAACTACAAGATATCTGTACCTACACATACCACCCAGCATAGGGAAAAAAAAAGATTAAAAAAAACCCCTCCAATATTAAGTACTGGAGCGACTGTGGAGCAACAGGACTACTTACATAGTGCTGGTCGGAAAATAATTGATAGAACCAGTTAGTAAAACTTTTCTCAGTTTGTAAAACTCAGTATCAGCTTAAGCACAATATATGCATATCCTGCAAACCAGCAACTCTACCCAGAGTTCTACCAGGTAGAAATGCATGAATGTGGACATACAGAGATATTTGCAAAAATATATTTGGTAATAGCTGCATCTGGGTGCATTCTAAATAGTTCTCAAAAATAAGAAGAATATATAAATTAAGTACAGTCATACAATGGATACTATGCAGCAGTGGTAATAAAAGAGCTACTGCTGTGCTCACTACCTTCAGCAGCTTGAGTGGAAGTCACGCTGTAGACTGAATATTTGTGTCCCGCCAACATTCACATGCTACAACCTAACCTCCAATGTGGCGGTGCTAGATGCTGGGGACTTGGCTGGTGATTACATCAAAGGCATAGCCCTCAGGAATGGGATTATTTATTTAGTTATTAGAGTATGCTAGCTAGTCATTCATGTATTTACGTATACTTGTTGATTATTTTCTATCGGGCACTGTTATTGTCATGGGGAGTTACCAGACTCTCCTGTCACATTCCATGTGTTTTTCTTCTGGAAATTAATCATCTACAGCTGTTACTATTTATTTACATACCACAGGCATCCTTTCAAAGTGCAAACTCCTCTACAGGGAGGATGAAATTTTCATACTTGTATTCTAAAGATTAAAAAGCATTGAACTTTGTGTTAAGTATATTTTTGCTGACAACTTTCAATTCTCAGATGACTCATTTCTCTGACCTTAGAGCAACACTTTCAGTGTGTACCCACTTTTAATATGTTCATTATTCTTGTCTTAATAGTTGGTTATCTGGGGGAAGGTAATAGCTCAGTGGTAGAGCAGGTGCTTAGCATGCACAGGGTCCTGGGTTCAGTTCCCAGTACTTCCATTAAAACAAACAAAATTACCTTCCCATCCCCAAAATATATATAAATAAATTAAAATTTTTAAAAACAAAAAACAAACAAAAAATAGTTGGTTATCCAATATATACATAGATACCTCTATCCTCTCTCAGTTTTGAACTCTTCTTCACCATGACCACGAACCCATCGCCACTACCACTGTCATCACTATCAACCACAATAACAAATACAATCTCTTGTTGGGTTCCAGAAAATGAGCTGGACATGTTGGAAGACATAATGCATCAGTAGGTGACTGAACTGGGAAATATGAGATGAACGTTTGATGAAAAACTCACTTAGTCTTTGTGGGATTCCATTTGTCAGTGTTCAGAATGAACTTTACCTGTGTTATCATCAATGTCTTTCCTAACCTATGTATCTATG